ACAACACGTGTTTCTGGAATGACCTTCATCAGGTACATTCGTAACAACACGTGTTTCTGGAATGACCTTCATCGGGTTTGCCCGTGACAACACGTGTTTTTGAAATGACTTTCATCAGGTACATTCGTAACAACACGTTTTTCTGTAATAACCTTCATCAGGTACATTCGTAACAACACGTGTTTCTGTAATAACCTTCATCAGGTACATTCGTAACAACATGTGTTTCTGAAATGGATTTAATCTTGTACGCATGTGACAACACGTGTTTCTAGAATGACATTCATCAGGTACGCATGTGGCAACACGTGTTTCTGGAATGACCTTCATCAGGTTCGCCCTTGATAACATGTGTTTCTGGAATGACCTTCATCAGGTACGCATGTGTCAACATGTGTTTCTGGAGTGACCTACATCAGGTACTCATTTGGCAACAAATATTTCTGGAATGACCTTCATCAGGTTCGCCCGTGACAACACGTGTTTCTGGAATGACCTTCATCAGATTCGCCCGTGACAACACGTGTTTCTGGAATGAATTTCATCAGGTACGCATGTGGCAACAAATATTTCTGGACTGACCCTCATCAGGTACGCATGTGGCAACACGTGTTTCTGGAATGTCCTTCATCAGGTTCGCCCGTGACAACACGTGTTTCTGAAATGACTTTCATCAGGTACGCATGTGGCAACACGTGTTTCTGGAATGACCTTCATCAGGTACGAATGTGGCAACACGTGTTTCTGGAATGACCTTCATCAGGTTCGCCCGTGACAACACGTGTTTCTGGAATGACTTTCCTCAGGTACGCATGTGGCAACAAGTACTTCTAAAATGATCTTCATCAGATTCGCCCGTGACAACACGTGTTTCTAGAATGACAGTCATCATATTCGCTCTAACTTATCGAAAAGACACTACTCAAGGTCAACTGAAAAGAGTTTTCGCCCTAAAGCTCATATAACGGGCACATTGAATTGACTTAATTATGCCTATCGCGCTATTTCCTCAAATTAAAATAATTATAAAAAAGCTAAGTTAAATCAATCAAGTCATTGAACTGTATTAATTACGAAAAAATAAACAAGTAAGTATTTAATTTTCCACATTAACGTGATTTTTTATAATTTTTTTTGTTTTTGATTTCCACTTGAAAAATGACAATATATTCCACTTAACCCTTGAACTAAATACGGAACTTTTAATTACACAATAGCAAATTATAATTATAATTGTTGGAGACCGCTTGGATACAATGAGATAATGTTATAAAAAAAAATCAAAATTGAAGTCTCATGTCTAATCAATTACGTACATCAAATTGATCATAAGTTAGAGCAAGAATATCCTAAGCGCTGAATAAGTACTTAAACTATCAATCGAATAATATGTTTTAATAATGCAATAAGAATATTAGTTTGCATAAAAACCATACACTCCAGTGCTGATGTCATATAAGGAAACATTACTCGGATTCCAACTGAAGTGCTAATTATGTGTATATTAATTCATAACTTACATCCACTTATCAAATTAACGTTTAGTAAAAAATATGATAGTAAATCTTCTATACCACCATCTATGTAAATCATTGTAGATTATTGTACTTATTCTATAACGTTCATGAAAATCATGCGGAGACTGCAGTTTCTAGTTATTACTTTACTGTTGGTAAGTAGATTCTATTTATACGAATCCTCTTTGTTAGCTGTTATAAATGGCGCGAGTTGCTTTACGGATTGGTATACGTTGGTGAAACGAACGGAAGGCTAAATAAACGTAGATGAGGCACCAACCACAGTGACAGTGTTTACAGGCATTTTAACCATCCTGATCATTTAATCATTACTATGCAAGTTTACATCATCAAAAAAATACGCCACATGATAACATTCCACACTTTGCAACACCTCTCCGTAGAACTGCAACACCATATGGTTGCATTGACAAAATTGATGGTATAGGTATTCCATCTAGTTCTTCCTATAGCTCCGTGAATATGATAAATATTTTACTCTACTCATGGTCATCGTCATTATACAGCACCTACTCTCCATGATGTCTTTATAATTATCTGCTACCATCTATACAACAACCGTTAGTTATTCATCACATTCGCACGAATCTTTATTCTTTACCACCTTTCAAAACTTCATTCCCATTACAACTTATGCTTGGAAACCACTTTTATGAACCCTCATTCAATCAATACAAACTTACAGCTATCATTTCGGCTATTGCAACTCACAGACTTTTCAAACAAGTTAGCATTGAAAAAGATGAAAAGGAGAACAGATCATTTCTTAAATTTTCTTTGCCAACAAAGGTAATGCCATCAACTTGGGCAATATCCATCATCATAAATCAGTTTCTTTCCAAAATACCTCTCTATTCTAAAGATCAGTCTGTACCTATCATTTCTAAAACCGATACCAAACCATTTGCAACTAAATTTTTCAATTACACATACATGTTGCAGGATCTCAATATTGACGACTTTAAGTCTTAACCTCTAGATTGCACATGTGATAGTTCCCCATTCATATATAATCCAGCTGGCCACGTTATTACCGGTTGGTGACCTAAACATTGTCAATAACACTAGTACTTCTCTTCGAAATATGTTATCAAAAGTCCTGAAATATCGTAAGCCTAAATCCATTAATTGCAAACACAACACAATACTGATGGATTCAATCGAGGATTATGCCAGGCAATAGATTAAACGTGAGAAAGAAAACGTAGATACTGTTTCCGAAAAGATTAAGCTGTGAAGTGGTTAATACAAATCAGAATTAAGAAACTGAATGGGTCTTTTAATACCAATGCTATATCTTTGAAGACCCAAATGTTGCATAACATGTGTGTTGTTGTCCTCTCAGATAAATCCCTAAACAACATCGTTTTTGTGTGTTAACCTCATTACATCAACTGCTTGATAAATGAATTAGGTATTGATTATTCACATGAAAACTCAAAACATACCCCCAACGACACTTACTTAAGAAGAAATCCCGGATAATCATAGGTCTGTTCTATGTTCCTTTGAAATTTCTAGATGAACTGGATCTTCCACCACTGTATTGGATACTTAAACTACAGAAGTGTCCTTACTAACAACGGTATATTGCTGGGTTTTCCCCATGCTCCACAGAACCTCTTTCTAAATTATCAACATAAAATTTATCAGCAATCAAAGCTGGGCTTCAAAGTTATTGCAAAACTACCACTCCTAGGGGTGTCGTCAATCAGATGTGGATACTAAAAAAAGTCAAAACATCTTTTAGAGTAAACACAACCCAAGACTCTTTCATCTAGCAATATTATTAAAACTTTGACATGGGCATTCTAGATGAAGATCACATCATGATTTCCTTGATAAAGGGTTACTACTCACTACGAAGCCAGTTCCAAGTGGTGAAGTTGACATTATCCCTTTGTAAGTTTTACGGACGCCATCACGAGTTATTTTGGCCTTTACGAAATATCCGTTTGACAGATAATAGTGGATATGTTCCTAATAACATAAACGGTACCAATTTTTCTGCACCAGAGACTAACTACAATCCCAGCCCTTTGTCTCGAATATGACCTACCGAATAAGACTTATTACCGCGTTTTTTCAAGCATGAACAACATGAAGGGTGCCACATGTTGAACAGGATCTGCTAATTCTTCCGTAGCACCTTAGATTAGCCCTCAGTTTTGGTGGGGCTCGTGTCTCAGTTTTTAGCTTTCTATGTTATCTATTGTTAACTTTTGTTGGTCTGTTTGTCTTTTTTGTTTGTTAGCCATGTCGTTATTAGTTTTAAATTCGGCTTATATTCTTATATATTATTATACAGTATTTATAACAGCGCATTATATGATATTAAAATTACCCTAAGCGCTTTACAACATATATTCATTCACATATAAAAGAATTAACAATAAGATATAAAATATGAAAGCCCATGTTATAAAATCCTAAAACAAACTCATCAACTATAAGAGGTAATCAAACGAATAACAGGAACACTGAAGTGAACAAACAAAATCCCGCTATCATACATAGAAACGAACTATTTGATAACAACTGCCATATTCCTGACTTGGTACAGGACATTTTAAGAAAAAATGGTGGGTTGAACCTGGTCTAATGGCCAGCCAAACCTCCCACTTTATGACAATGTTAAAAAATATATCGCTGAAATGACAACACTACGTGACAGAAATACAGCACACACGCACGTAAGACCATTCATCACAGAGAAACGCACAAACAAATAATATTATAGACGACACAACATGCAAACTGCAGAACAACAACGAACATATTTCATCAACAACAAACACCACATGATACAAAAACAGTGACGCGCTTACGTAACTAACATGCTATGTCGAAGTTTATTCAATTAATTTCACAATACTCGTCCAAAATATTTTCATGAGAATGATGTTATGGAAAGGCAGTTTCATAATAAGTTAGACTACAAACGATTAGACATAACAGATTATCCAACCAAAACCATAACAAAAATTAATACATGAATTTTGGATGTACAAAATACCGAGACACGTCGTATAACAATGCAAATTCACACTCGGTATAACAGTCATATTCGGGAATATGACAATGGTGGTATTGGAAGGCCATCCTATAATCATTTGGACAACAAACGATCAGATATAACACATTATTCAACCGAAACTATACCTATAACAGAAACATAAAAATAAATACATGTATGTTGGATGTACAAAAGACAGACACGTCGCATAACAATGCAAATTCACACTCATAGATAAGAAATTTACAGATGAATGTACCACTCAGTGCCAAACTGAGAGAATATTGAATTCAAGAAACAGATCGCAAGCATGTAGTATTAGTTTTGATCAATGTTAGTTGTTGTTTGCATCTATAATCATATATTTTAAATGATAAAGCCAAAGGTAAAAAAGAAAAAAAAACGAATATTGCAATGAATATATACGAAAAGATTTTAATTTGTAGATTGGATTTTGTGAGAATACTGATGAATATATCGTACGAATAATTGAACTTCACACATGGCGCTGTATACCCATATCCAACTGTCCACCTGGTAAGTCAATGATAAAGCGCTGACAAGATTGAGGAACATATATATAGTGTCATACAGATGCATAAGCATATACATAATTTTAATATAAAAAATAAAAAATAAAATATCAAAAATACTGAACCCCGAGACAAACTCAAAACGGAAAGTTCCTAACCAAATGGCAAAATCAAAAGCTCAAACACATCAAACGAATGGATAACAACTGTCATATTCCTGACTTTCTTATGTAGAAAATGATGGATTGAACTTAGTTTTATAGCCAGCTAAACCTCTCAATTGTATGACAATCGTATCAAATTCAATTATAATGACAACGATGTGTGAACAAAACAAACAGACATAATAGGTAAAAATGTCAAGAAAAGGGATACAGCAGTCAATATTGTGTTATAATCTTAATCTCTGTAAAAACAAACAAATAGATAAAAACGAAGCACAAAAGGGCATATAGACAAAGCACTTTAACAAACATGAAAGACAATAATACACACATTTATCATAGCATAATAACACAATGACGGGATGTATAAGTACAGAGTCACGTCAAATGGATATCACCAAAACAGACCAAACAGTGAAAAAATATGCATAAAGACAAATAAAAGAATAATATAACACGCTATTAAGATGATAAACAACGTCAGTACCCAGAATCTATACTCCAAGACCATCGTGTATTATTTGTGAAGTTGATACGGAATATTTATCAACAAGGTATTGGTACCTTCTGATGAACATGTTTAGAAGAAAAAAAATGAGACGTTTTTGACATACTCCTGGTTCATCAACTTTCTGCAGAAACACTGGTGACGTTTTACAAAGTCTGAATAGAAGCTGCAAACTCTTGAATACCGAATAAGATGGGAAATGTATTAATTACTCAAATGACTGCTGTTTAAGTGACGGTTAACAATATCTTCTTGCATTGTCAACAAACATGCTATAACTAAAAGCAAATAAAGTCCTTAATGGCGTTTGGTCATTGTTTAAGACCGTGTAGTGACTCATTGGCAATCATACCACATCTTTTGTTTAATACTTGAATGATGTAAGCTTCTCTCTTATATAAGACACCAATATACCATGCACCATACACCATAACATTATACACCATGTTTTCCTTTTGTTTGGTGTGCTGAAGCTTTTGATTTTGCTATTTAATAAGGGACATTCAGGTGTTAGTTTTCATTCGAAAACGGTAATTTTGGTATTCTACTTTTTACATCATGCATCATTACATCATACACAATTACACAAGCCATCATTCACCATACACCACACATCATTACATCATATACCATATACCATTCACTATTACACCATACACGTTTTATAGAGACGTTAACACAATTCAAAAACATCACAAGTAGAAAGTTGAAAACTACTTCTAACATACATGTATATATTTAAGCTTTTGCCAATCTTACGTAATCCCAATGACTCTGAATGAAATGCTTTAATTGTATAACAGGATATGCATGATCCAGTTCTAATAATTTCCTTCATAAAACGTCACCAGTGTCTGACCAGAACATTGATGAGCAAAGGTTATGTAAAATAACGTCTCGTCCTTTTTCTAATCAAGTGCATTGGACGATACCAAGACCTTGTTGAGAAATATTGCGTGTCAGTTTCACAAATTATACATGATGGTATTGAAGTATAGAATCTAGGTACTGACGATGTTTTTGATATTAATCACGTGTTATACATGTAGTGTTCTTTGTATTTGTCATTGTATATTTTTAACTTTTACTGAAACACTGGTGACGTTTTACAAAGTCTGAATAGAAGCTGCAAACTCTTGAATACCGAATAAGATGGGAAATGTATTAATTACTCAAATGACTGCTGTATAAGTGACGGTTATCAATATCTTCTTGTATTGTCAACAAGCATGCTATAACTAAAAGCAAATAAAGTCCTTAATGGCGTTTGATCATTGTTTAAGACCGTGTAGTGACTCATTGGCAATCATACCACATCTTTTGTTTAATACTTGAATGATGTAAGCTTCTCTCTTATATAAGACACCAATATACCATGGACCATACACCATAACATTATACACCATGTTTTCCTTTTGTTTGATGTGCTGGAGCTTTTGATTTTGCTATTTAATAAGGGACATTCAGGTGTTAGTTTTCATTCGAAAACGGTAATTTTGGTATTCTACTTTTTACATCATGCATCATTACATCATACACAATTACACAAGCCATCATTCACCATACACCACACATCATTACATCATATACCATATACCATTCACTATTACACCATACACGTTTTATAGAGACGTTAACACAATTCAAGAACATCACAAGTAGAAAGTTGAAAACTACTTCTAACATACATGTATATATTTAAGCTTTTGCCAATCTTACGTAATCCCAATGACTCTGAATGAAATGCTTTAATTGTATAACAGGATATGCATGATCCAGTTCTAATACTTTCCTTCATAAAACGTCACCAGTGTCTGACCAGAACATTGATGAGCAAAGGTTATGTAAAATAACGTCTCGTCCTTTTTCTAATCAAGTGCATTGGACGATACCAAGACCTTGTTGAGAAATATTGCGTATCAGTTTCACAAATTATACATGATGGTATTGAAGTATAGAATCTAGGTACTGACGATGTTTTTGATATTAATCACGTGTTATACATGTAGTGTTCTTTGTATTTGTCATTGTATATTTTTAACTTTTACTGTTAAGTCCAATTTTGGTGATATACATTTGACGTAGCTTGGTACTTATACATGCCGCTATTGTGTTATTGTACTATGGTCAATTTTGAATTCTTGCCTTTTATTTTAGCGTATGTACTTTGTCTAGAGAGTGTCTATATGCTATTCTGTATTTTCTTTGTTGAAATGATGACTTGTTTTTATAGTGATAACGATTTTGTCGCAATGCTGACAGCTGGACACTTACTTTTGACATTTTTACCCATTACCTATTATGTCTGTTTGTTTTGCTCACACATAATTGTCAATATAATTGAATTCTATGCAACTGTCATACACTTGAGAGGTTAAGCTAGCTATTAAATCTTGTTAATCCACCATTTACTAAATAAGGAAATGCCTGTACCAAGTTAGGAATATGACAGTTGTTTTCCATTCATTAGTTTTGTTTGAGCTTTTGATTTTGCCACTTCATAAGGGTCTTTCCGTTTTGAAATTCTATTGAAATTTAATTTTAATTTTAAGTTCGGTAATTTTGATTATTACTTTTTTGGCATTCAGCTACCATACATAGCCTTTTCATTTAAATTTGGGTTTTTAATGTAAAATTATAATAACAGGTAAAAATGTTTTTGTGAGACCTCGAAATTGAAAGTATTATCCTTTTTCTTTTGTTTAACTATTGTTAACCAATAAAAAATCACAAAAGAAATAATTGTGCTTTGGTACTGGCTGTTATCAAAGGGAGACGATTCAATATCAATCTCAATGTGTTTTAATCACAGGGGAGATCAATCGTGTTACATGAGGAGGTATCTCATCAACTATAGTCTATTTTTTAAAACATCTTCTTAGTATTATTTTGCTTACCCATGTTTTATAATTAGTTTCTCACTTTTGGACCGCAAAGTAAACTTTAATAAAAAAAAAAAACCTTAATATTGATTTGCTATGTAATCTTTGTGGATTTTTTAAAAAAAGATTCATTATAGGGTAATAAGGGCGCCATCAAATAAATAGGTAAGATTGACAATTTAAGACATTGAAACATTAAAAATTCAATTGAGTGTATGAAAGTCTGATTCTTCTTCAATTTATGCTATAGAAAATTTTAAAAGTGACTATGAATTTATTGCAAGAATATTTATTGAAAGAGTACATTTTTATTATGTTGAAAACAAATTTGTAAAGAGATATTTTGTATTGTTGTTGTGTGCGGTTGAGGCCATATATATAGTTGACATTACAAAATACGCACGCGAGTTAAAAACGAGATATGTTAAAAAATTAGCCATTATTAAAGCAAAAGTCCTGACTCGTAATTTTTGCATATAGGAAACAAATCAGGTAGTATAATATGATTTATAGCCAAATGATGGATTATTAATGGGTGCGAGTCATTGTGACACTGATAAGGGGGTGGACAGAACTATGGGAACTCTGGAATGAGAGGGCTGGAAATGGGAATTGGGTGGATTGAAGCTAGAGTCAGGGTGGTGTTAACCGTGAGGAAAGGGTTGTTAAAACAGGGATCATTCATGCTTGACGAAAAAATAGGAGAGCAGAGAAACTGAATACGGAGTGAAGTAGGAGTTTTGGGAGGGAACTGGGAATAAATTCCCAATCCACCCCCTTACTGATAGCCATAGAAAAAAAGGTGGTGGGGTCATGTATGTAGCAGGAGCAATTCTGCATGGGATGCGGCAGCTTGTTCTAGTTTGTGAACTGATATATAAAAAGACGATGGATGCCTAATGTAATAGAGCTATCTAATTAAAAAAAACACAAAAAAACAGTGAAAACAATATATAATAAGTAACTTATATATTTATAATTTAATTTAATTTTTATCAAGTAGACCATAAGTAGAGAAATGGGGAATTAAATAACTTCAATAATTATCCGTATTAAGAACGCATTAAAGAACGTATTAAAAAAAGCGGTAATATGTAGCAATTAATAAAAATCTGAATGCCGTAGTAAAAATCATCAGGAATTTGATCTGCTTTGCCGCCCGGAGATGACGATAAGTGAACTTGTACAAAATCATGTTTTCATGGAAAGTGATGAATTGTCCTAACCAAAATAACAATTACTTCAGATATCTAACATTCCTATCATATGTTGATACCACGATGATACATTAATAATACTGTCTTGTTAAATATACCTTATTGTCAAAGAATGCAGCAATAGTGTCGTCATCGACGGTCAAAGAAAAAATGGTGTTGATAGAGCATGTAATTCCGGAAATTGACCGTCTCCAAAAATATTAAATTCTAAAATTTAGTTATCGGCCTTTTCGCGCCAGCAACTTTTGAAAAGGCTACCATACATTATATAAAATTGAAAACGGAAATGGGGAATGTGTCACAGATGAAAAACACCCGACCATAGAGTAGAAAACAGCAGATGGCGACCAAAGAGTCTTCAACACAGCGAGAAATATCCGCACACGGAGAAGGGCTCCAGCTGACTCTTAGATAAAAATGTGTAATAGATCAGCGAAAATGGATGTCATACTAAACTCCAAAACATATAAATGAACTAAAATTGAAAATCATACAAGACTTACAAAGGCCAGAGGCTCCTGACTTGGGACATCCGCAACCGGATGTTTAGTGAGAACTCAATCCTTCCCCTATACCTCTAGCCAATGAAGAAAACACACAGCAACAATACGTACAGTAAAACTCAGTTTGAAAGGAGTCCGAATCCAATGTCAGGAAAGGTAACAAAAGAATCTAGCCAAATGACAATGTTAAATAAATAAACAAAGGACTACCAGCAGTTACTGACATGACAGCTCCAAACCTCAATTACACCGATTGAAAGATCATGTCTTCATCATATGAAAATCAAGCCAAATTCCTCCGGTTAGGGGTTATCATACCATCATGAAATATATGAGAAGAACATAACCCATTTCATGCCAACAACTTGTTTTAGAATAATTGTGTTTATTTCCGATACAAAGACCCTATGAGTAAATCAATAAAAATACCAAAATATGCCATCTTCAATGACCTGACAACGGTATCGTAACTATATCCTAGTATATAAGTCTGTTTAAAGGTTTGGTTAGCTTTTGAGGTGAATGCCGACACTTTTGTGCTTTGTAAAGGATATTTCCATAAAAGATTGGAAGTGAAATACTTGAACGTATATGATGTCTGCATGTTGATTTATATTTACGAATGATGTCCTTGTACCGATGATAAAATTTAGTAAATATTTTGACTGGTTTGTGATATCGAAAATCCTGATGTAATAATCTTTCAGAAATACAGGGATTTCTTTCGTTTAAATCAACTACGTTGTTACATACACTAGCAAATCGATCAAGTTGATATATTTAAACACCATAATATGGATAATTGACAAAAGGAAATGAAAAATCATCTCTCATAGATTTTGGTATTAAGCTTCCCGTTATATATATATTCGCATTATGACTTTTTAAATGCCCATTTGATTAGGTGTGTGAAATTTTCTTAATAAGATTATGAGGCAAAGTGGTATATAGGGTAGACAAATCAACACTTTGAACAGATTCAAAATCACCAATATAAGTATGCAATTTCTCAAGTACTTCCAACGAATTTTTGACACTCCAAAAGTAATAATTCCACAATTTTTAAAGGACTTATTTGAACAATGTATTACTAGATTATATACCTGTTTTTATAGGTACCTTATCATCGGATATTAATCTGTGAATTTAACAAAAGTAAAATATGCTTGAAAAATTGTTTTATTCTTAACAGAAAAAAAACAGATGATTGGCTTACGTCAATTGGATAGCAACCCAATAACATAAATAACTGAAAACAAATATGTCTTCCCGACAGTGTACCTTTTTCTTGTTGAAAAAAAACTCCAAAAACATTCGAATAAACTTTACATGAATGGTTTATTCAAGCATTTCGTTTTCGGCGGAATAGACAGACTAGTCGACATGAGAACAACTACATTGGAACATATCACTTCTATAGCGAGGATTAAAATTACGCTTATCTATAGCCTTCAGCAAAAGACAAGTAAACATTTAATATCATAGCCCTTAAGTGTCCCTAGTAAAAGAAATGTGAATAAATTTTAAAGACCATTTCAACATCTAATAATTCTAAAAATAAGCAAAAGGAAACATTGAATGTGATGACCATTGATAAGCATCTCGACCTGTGACAGGGACATGCATATACGGTGGTGTTAATTTAGTGATTTGATAAATTTTCAATCTCAAAAACATACAAAAAATTCAGTTAAACAAAAAAAAGAAGTCCCTTAGTAAAGGGAGATAATTCATTTTAAAAATCGAGACTTCACTTTGTGTAGCTAGTTCTATAAATATATTTGTAAGTATCAAGTGACAAAGATTTAAAATCACCTATGTATTTGTAGATGAAACGTTCCAGTTAGTTACCAGAGTTGAATTCTTTATGCTAGGTCGAACGTAACTGTTGAAATACCCCGACTTTGACATTTTGACTAATTTCAAAATAGAAATAAGAAGATACAGTATGGTTGCTAATGAGACAATTCTTTACCAGGGACCAAATGACAAAGTAGTTATCAACTATAGCTCACCTTACGGTCTTCAATGATCAAAACCCCATAACGCTTAGCAAGCAATAAAAGGCCCTTAAATGACAAATTTAAACAATTCACACTAGAAAAACTAAAGTCAGTTAATTTCAATCGTTGTATCTATGAAGAAATTATTTATTACCTGGTTTACTTCTTTTTCTGTATCCCCTTAATTTAACCTATTACCTGTTTATTAAAATGTCTTTTGTTCATTTCCCTTCTTTATAACTATTGTCTTAATGTTGAATTTCAATTGTGAGTTAGTAATTATGTTTGAAACGGGGGTTCTATTATATTTAAGGACCTTTTATCTAATTTTATAGACTACTTAAAATTGTCAAAATATTTTAAATTCGTAGACTTAAGACTTTGGAAAGATACACGATGACGGGTGAGTGAACGGTTGTATGGTTAGCAATGTTACATGTCCACCGATGTCCAGGTATTGCTCGAGAAATGTTTTCAGGAGATACGATGCTACCGGACATACACTTATTGGTCGGTTTTTTTAAAGGAAAACTGAACTTTACATTAAAGAATATAAACTGCATGACCCTCTTTTCTGTAGATAAAATAAAAAGCTGACATAGTTTAATTAAAGTGAGACAACCAATCTTCCGGAATCTAATCATATAAATAGAAAAAGAATGTATTGCCATATGACCTTTTATATTGAGGAACTTAACTTGAATAAAGCCGTGATCTGGCCCTTAAATAGAAAATAAACGGGGATATGGAATAAAAGTGCATGGGATAATATCGCACACAAAATATAGAATAAATACAAATTATACCAATGTACAAGGCTTTTATTCCTGTTCTTCCTTGACAGTCGCTGGAGGGTCTTCATCATGTAACGAATCATTCATACCCTACAACAAGTTCAAGACGACCCCTAACGTCGACTCAAGCGATACTTAAAGCGTTGTACAGTGAACAAGTTTCATAGTCACAAAAACTCCACCATAGTCTAAACACTATACCAGAGTAGAACAAACAGATCTGACACTAATCAGCCGAAATACATATTAAAACAACACAACAAATGTAGCAATGGGATCTAACAACAGTTTTCCTGAATCTATCCTGAGAGTACCCTTAACTATGTGCATTACGCTTTTTGCTTTATCCTACATATCGCACGTTTGATGTTGTCCGTAAAAACTTAAAGTCTTACACAGCTATATATTTTGTTTTGAGACCAGAATATAGTAAAAAAAAAATTAAAACAAAACTTGCGTTTCAGATTAATAAAGAATCCGGGAAACGCTCAGAATACACAATTTCTTGTGTCATTTTCCATAGCTTATGGGGGCGTTGAGCGGCACACAGGCCCTCTCCTAAAAAAATATTTTCCCTTACTTTTTAAAAGAGGCTAGTTACGACTGTGGAAACGGATTTCAAATTATGCTCATATTAACAAAAACACAAAAACCAGATGATTTCACTTTGAAGTTATGTGTATAAACACGTGACACATGCATTTAGCAACAAAAATATATCATTAATTAAAAATCCTAAGTAATTGTCAAAATAAGAAATCAGAACGTGTCGTCATGGAAATAGCGACGCGTAAATCATGTTTGTATCATATGAATTGATAACGTGTTTGCTTTAATAATACAATTGACATGCTCTTTTTAGGATACACAATTGAGCCATGCAAATTTGAATATACTGCAGATAAGTGTAGATTATGTACAGAAGGACTTGTCCAGCCTGATTATATACAGTCTACAATAGATCAGAATCTTACCAAGTGTTTTAAGAATCAAAATGTTGATAAATGTCGTGCAGATGGTATTTATTCAATATTTGTTATTAGTGTATGGTCTGAAAGAACAACGAGGACACTGACTTGTCCATTTAGGGGGATTCGGACAGGTCCGGCTAGGTGCATGCCCTCTGAATTTCAAAAAAAAAAATTATTTTGGCAAACGTCTACATTATCCCAATCCGTTCACTCGGAGAAATAATAGCGTTGTAACTATTTAAGATCAAATCATAATGAATGGAAGCGCCCTGTTCTGTTTTCAAAACGGCGAAAGTAGACACTGTTTCACATTTCTTTAGCAGTGACAGACCAAACATTATCGGAATATCGGAGAAATCATATACGAATACAACCTAACCCACTAATAAGTAAACAGTAAAAAACAAATATCTTTGCCACGGTGTTCAATATATGTCTTTGGAATAACATAACTCTACTGGACTTTTTAAATAAAATAAAAATACCTCTAAAGAAATATAGGTAACAAATGATTGAGGAACAATGAGTTACCGTGATAGTATTTTTAAGTTTGTTTCAAACAACATAGATGTGGTCAATTAAATATCTTAATGTATGTCACCTAATTACACGGAATATAAAATTGAGAATGGAAATAGGGAATATGTCAAAGAGACAACAACCCGACCAAAGAGCAGAAAACAGCCGAAATCCTGCAATGGGTCTTCAATGCAGCGAGAAAATCCCGCACCCGGAGGTGGTCCTCAGCTGGCTCACAAATAAAATTGTGTGCTAGTTCAGCGAAAATGGACGTCCTCACTGGGGACAGGGGAAAATGCGGCGGGGTTAAACATGTTTTGTGAGATCTCAACCCTCCCCCTATGCCTCTAGGCAATGTATGATAAAGAAACACATAGCAATACGCACAGTAAAACTCAGTTTAAAAGAAGTCCGAGTCCGATGTCAGAATAGGTAACAAAAGAAACTAAGCAAAATGACAATGATACATAAATGAACAAAGAACTACTAGCAGTTAATGACATGCCAGCTCCAGACCTCAATTAAACTGATTGAAAGATTATGTCTTCATCATATGAAAATCCAGTACAAACCCACCCGTTAGGGGTTAAGTATCATACCATCATAAAATATTTGAGAAGAACATAACCCGTATCATGCCAACAACTGGTTTTAGAATAAATGTGTTTATTTTCGATGCAAAGACCCTATGAGTGAATCAATATTAATACCAAAATATGCAATCCTTAATGACTTGACAACAGTATCGTAACTATATCCTTTCTGAACAAGTCTGTTTAAAGGTTTGGTTAGCCTTTGAGGTGAATGCCGACATTTTTGTGCTTTGTAAAGAATATTACCATAAAATATTACAAATAGACAATATAAAGCTGAAAAAATCAAATGAAAAAATATAAATATATAAGCTGAATAACGGCAGTAATAGTTTACCGATGTTCAAATCTCGTACATGGATTTAGAAGAAACAAACAAGGTACTTAACAAAATTGAGGTTATCCAAATGGAGCGAGACCAGGCGCGATGAAGGAGTAAGCGTTCCTAATATCCATGTATCACCCGTCACATTTAGTCTCAATGTCACAGTTCGGAATAGTACATATATACGGGATATATACAGATCTAAGACTACGCAAATATGTCGTGCTATGTCAATATGCGTCTTGTGTAGAGTTGTCTCATTGGCAATTATTTCACATCTTTTTTTATATTTGGCGATAACTGAAATCTATTTGCTTCTCTTAATAATACAATATAGCTCAAAGTAAAACGGAGCAATCTGATCCGTTTATATCGTACCATTTACTCACCACATATGTACCTATATCCTTTTTAAATATTTTAGTTTTAAAGCCTAGTCGTGAAAACAGCGAAAAAGTATGTCGTGGCGTAGAGTTTTGTAAGTGTAATACAGACAAATGTTTTTTTGGCGACCCATGTGCCTGTCAATATTGTGAATGTGACATGGATGAAACTATGCTTACAAATGGAAGTGAGTTAATAATTTACTATCATGGTGATTTTTTTGCGATATGTTTAATCCTTGATACATCATACTAGTATTATCCTTGTTAAGAGCAAGTATGAAAAAGAAGATGTGGTATGATTGCCAATGAGACAACTTTTCACAAGGCACCAAATGACACAGAAATTAACAACTAACAACTATAAGCAACTGTAAAGCCTTCAACAATGTGCAAAGCACATACCGCATAGTCAGCTATAAATAAGGCCCCAAAATGAAAAATGTAAAACGATTCCAACGAGAAAACTAACGGCCTAATTTATGTACAAAATTATGAACGAAAAGCAAATATGTAACATAGCAATAAACGACAACCACTGAATTACAGGCTCCTGACTTAGGACAGGCACATACATACAGAATGTGACGGAGTTGAACATGTTAGCGGGCGCTCAACCCTACCCCTAATCCTGGGACAGTGGTGCAACAGAACAATACAAAGGCTGAACAAAACAATAAACACTAAACAAACAACACATATGATCAATAGCAACAAACAACAACCACTCAATTTCAGGCTCCATTTGGTACATTTGTTTTATTATATATCTTAAATGAAAGATGAAATACAGAAAGGAAACAGATTTTTTCTTTTTCCCTTAAGAAAAGAGTTATATTAAAATTTAAGTTTTAACACAGGTTTGATTTACTGAGCCAAACGATTCGTTGTAATTCCATCCATCATTTTCTATAAATTATATATCTAATAGCAAGTAAAATAAAAAATAGGAAAAGATATATCCATGTTAGCCCAAATCCTAATCCTTCGTATTTCAGCATGTGTCAAATGTCCAGCAGAAACATCGAAAATTAAATGCGGATGTGGTCCTTGTTTTCCTTCCGAGGTTCCAGTTGAAAGGTACATCATCTTATACAAATATTTAAAAAAAAACCGTAACATTATGTTTCATTGTTCAATTATATTTAATAACAATTCAGGAAGCACGAAGTAATTGGTGATGGGTATTGTGTATAGCTAGCGATGACTTTGTCGAGACAAGTCTTTAACAATAGAGACAAAAATACCTCCCATTTAAAAGATAATACGGTTACTGAACAAATGGTGTCTTGTCTTTCATTCGATCAATTACTGAATTTAGGTCTTGATTAATTTGAAGACATAAAATAATTAACTTTCTGACTAACCATAAGCAGTTATTATTGTTATCATCAAAATGCTGTTGAAATTTTGATCGACAAAATATTTATTCAGTTTGTGGACTGATATTTAGGCAAAAAGTCAGTACAATGTAATCCAATGGGTACTAAATGAGCACCACTACTGATTGATTTGTATTTGTATTCATATGATGCATTTTGCAACGTTCTTTAATTTCCCTTTTCAGACACTAGTTTGTCATATGAAGCAGAATTTCGACAGACCTTTCTCAAAGTCATATAGAAAAAGCATCATGCGACGGTCTTTAATTTCAACTTTCAGACACTAGTATATTGATGATTTTTTGTCACCCAATAACCCACATTTGAATGGTTGATTACATCTCATATACCCCAGTAAACTTTATATCAAAGATACAATTGAAAATAGAAGTGTTGCTTCATGTCTTGATCTTTTCTTCGATATTGACAAAAAATGGACGATTTTAAACTATAATCAGTCTAATTTGATGATTTCCATTTTCCAATTGTCAATTTCTGATTTATAAGCAGTAATATAACCTATAGCGTTTACACATCTTAATCAATATGTCATGTTCGTGTATGTTCATTCCAAAGAAATTTCATTAACAGGGGTCGTTTTATTACACAAGGACAACGTTGATCTTCTTAATCGATTTTAACATCGATAAACTATTTTCGCCTTATCAATAACGACTTTATGTGATTGATTAATTGATTGATTGGTGTTTAACACTACTTTCAACACTATAGTGCTTTTTCGTGTTGGTCAGTTTTTATTGTTGGAGGAAACCGGAGTACCTGGAAAGAATCACCGACCTTTGGTAGGAAAACTAACAATCCTAGTAAATCAAGATTGGTGTCGAGTGCACCTGCCCCGTGCGGGATACGAACTCACAAGTGTTGACAGGGAAGTGGTAAAGTACCGAGGCCCCTGACTTTTTCTGAAGATTTACGCACAAACGGCTAACTTACATTGACAATGGTTTTTTAATACGCGCGAACGAAGGTATGTAGGATATATCAATTATTGATGTATAAAGCACAGTAAAACGGCATCACATATACTTTAATGGATGACTGGTTGTTAAAATAACAAACTTGAATGTAATGCTTATTTTTTTACATTTCGATTTGAATGAATTAACCAGTCATGATTTAGAAGATTATTGTTGGTGTTTATTACAGACCCCAGATATATTAAGCTATGGACATATAGGTATTATGTGCGAATTAAAAGACAAGGGTTATACGGCAAGGGGACAGCAATTTAACCATAACTGTTTTAAGCTACACACTTCTAGCAAAATAGTCTTACTGTATAGTAAATGAGCTGTTACAGATACATTTGTAATAAATGGAGAAAGCATAGTTTAAGCGCAATAATATAAAAAAAAGTTCATCAAACACAAACTTGTTAGACAAAATTTCTGACAAATCCAAAGAAGATTGTTTAAATCGTTGTTTTGTTAAAAATTGATTTCTCTTTTGGATTTCGTAGTAATTTGTAGCAAAATAGCATATAAGATTGATTATTTGTTGTTTAGTTTGCTTATGCTTGCAATAACAACTACAACGCTGCAAAAATTGTTCTATTTTAGTTCTCAGGTACCAAAAAGTATTTTTAAGTCAACAAAAACAAAAAGGTGTGTATGATTATATAAAAATCAATTGAACATTAACCTATGTTATTAGAATCAATAAAAAAAATACATATAAATGAAATTGAAGATTATTTGAATATCTTATTTTTACAGCACATTACTGGTATATAACATAAACATCTGATACATGAGTGTGTATCTATTCACAATTGCACTGTCGTCGAGTTCAATCTCGCTCCGTTTTGAATTCTAGGGAATGTGTCATATTCAAAATGTGTTTTTGAGTTTCTGATAAATTAACGGCAACAACTGTAAATTGTTTTCAAACAAAAGTCATGTCAACTTTTGTCGGTCTGTTATTCAACGGTTATTATTTAGGTCTTTCTACTTTTCGTGGAAAGAACTCTTGCTTTTGTTCTGGATTTTTGGCCAATGACGTTGTACAGTGATATGGGTTTCCCCATTCACCCTGTGTAACCGAACACTTATTCTTATGTGAGTTAACTCCCTGTATCCCCCTTTTTTCTGTTATCTTTATTTCTCTGCTACCGTAAAAGATATCAACAAACCCATTTCTCCAAAATGTTCGTCTACTATCAGGAATGTTTTTGTTCAGTGATCCAATGACATCCTATGGGAATTATTTCCTTTTAAAATTTAACATAGGATATATGTTGAATTAATTCATACACCATAATTCATAGAAGCCTAAAGTCTTTTGACATGACGTCTTTGGTTCATTTGAATGAAATTGAGTTCAAGGTCAAAGGTCAAGGGCATGTTCTCAATTTATAATTTTGCTTGTTATCTTTATTCCATAGAAACCGTAAGAGTTTAAATTAAGATGCGTCAGCCAAATCATTGTTTACGACATGGAGCAACTTCAACACATTCAGGTAAAAGTGACACGGTGGCTGCTTATATGAGTTGTCTCCACTTATATATTTGAAATCAGTAAATCTTCTCACCCATACAAGTGAATGACCAGGGGTCTTTCGATATGAGATCACTGATCTATGACATTGAAATTGAGATTTGGACCTTATCTAAAAATCCATACTTTATCCAAATATAGTTACGATACTGTTGTCAGGTACTCTACGTTCCGCTATATAGATGATGTTCTCTCACTAAATAATACAAAAATTTGGTGACTATGTTGAACGAATCTATCCCATCGAACTAGAGATAAAGGATACTACAGATACAGTTTAGTCTGTCTCATATCTTGACTTACATCTAGAAATTGACAATGAGGGTCGGTTGAAAACAAAACTTTACGACAAAAGAGATGATTTCAGCTTCCCAATTGTGAACTTTCTATTTCTATGTAGCAACATTCCAGCAGCGCCTGCATACGGAGTATATATCTCCCAATTGATACGATATTCCCGGGCTTGTGTTTCCTATTATGATTTCCTTGATAGAGAATTGCTGCTCACAAGGAAGCTATTAAACCAAGAGTTCCAAATTGTAAAGTTGAAATCATCCCTTCGTAAATTTTACGGACGCCATCACGAGTTGGTTGACCGTTATGGAATAACCGTTTCACAGATGATATCGGATATGTTCCTTATGTCGTAACTACTATACCTTTCCTTTTTCACGAATGTGACTTACCGAATTAGACTTTTTACCGGATTTGTAATAACATAATCAACACGACGGGTGCCACATGAGGAGCAGGATCTGCTTAACCTTCCGCAGCACCTGAGATCACCCCCAGTTTTTGGTGGGGTTCGTGTTGCTTAGTCTTTAGTTTTCTATGTTGTGTCATCTGTACTACTATTTGTCTGTTTGTCTTTTTATTTTTGGCCATGGCGTTGTCAGTTTGTTTTCGATCTATGAGTTTGACTGTCCCTCTGGTATCTTTCGTCCCTTTTTCATTAAAGATGGCATATTTTGGCTTTAGTATTGATTCACTTATAGGGTCTTTGCAACGGAAATAAACACATTTATTCTAAAACCAGTTGTTGGCATGGTGCGGGTTATGTTTCACTCATATATTTTATAATGTAATGATACAAAACCCCTACCTATTCTGATATCGGACTCGGACTTCTTTTAAACTGAGATTTACTGTGCGTATTGCTGTGTGTTTGTTTTTTTTTCTGCATTGGCTAGAATTATAGGGGGAAGGTTGCGATTTCAAAAAACATGTTTAACCCCGCCGCATTTTCCCCTGTCCCTAGTGAGGAGCCTCTGGCCTTTGTTAGTCTTTTATGATTTTTAATTTTAGTTCATTTATATATTTCGGAGTTTAGTATGACGTCCATTATCACTGAACTAGTACGCATTTGTGTTTAGTGGCCAGCTGAAGCACGCCTCCGGGTGCGGAATTTTCACGCTGTATTGAAAACCCATTGGTGGCCTTCGGCTGTTTTCTGCTCTTTGGTCGGGTTGTTGTCTCTTTGACACATTCCCCATTTCTATTCTCAATTTTATTGTTCATTATAAAACCATTAGGTCTTTTTATGCGACTGTCATACACGTGAGAGGTTTACCTAGCTATAAAACCAGATTTAATCCAACATTTTCTACATAAGAAAATGCCTGTACGAAGTCAGGATTATGACAGTTGTTATCCATTGGTTTTATCTGTTTGAGTTTTGATTTTGCCATTTGATTAGGAACTTTCTGTTTTGTATTTTTCTCGGCGTTCGGTATTTTTGTGATTTATTTTTGCATGAGGTTAGTAGACATATGACTTTAACCAGAAGTAGTCATTTTCACACTAATTTAATGCAAAGTTCCTAGAAACCTTATATTTTTTAAATCAGTTTGAAGTCATCAATCATAGGAATACGAAATGAAATTTTCTTCCATTTTTTAATCTGATCCCTTTGTACTGAAAGTTGAGGTGGAAAGACCTTTCTTTTTAATTGTTCCTGACTAAGTTCAGATTTAAAAATCCTTATAATTAGCAATAATTCTCCTAATAGTTATACATTTTAGATGATTGACAAATTGGTAGTATAAAACCATGAAATACTGTGCAAGTGTTAACCCAACAGTTCAATCAGTCTGCAGAACCTAATTTCATTACAATGTATCTCATTGAGCTTATGCGTGTTAACAGTATGACTACTTTGAAGAATGTTAAAAAGTTTTGGATCATTTTGAGCCAAAATGTTATTTACTATGATTATACATTTCAAATATTTGGTATAGATTTGAACGCCCACACACATGTGTAACCCCGCCACAATTTGTATGTGGTGCCTGTCCCAAGTCAGCTGCCTGTAATTCATTTTTGTTGGTTCATGTCTGTCATATTTGTTTTTCGTAAACTGTTTTGTTATAAAAATTAGGCCGTTATTTTTCTCAATTGAATTGTTTCATATTTTTAATGTCGGGGCCTTTTATAGCCGACTATAGGGTATGTGTTTTTCTCATTGTCGTATATAATAACAATATTACGGTTCCTGACTTGAAACATACATTAGTTTGAAATATAATGACAGGTACACATTGTCACAAAAAGATCTAGTGGTATTATCTATCGATCCAGCTAAATTAAGAGTTCACCGATTGTGAGTGTTTTTTATCACAAGTTTCATGAGGAGTATTTGATTTATGTTTTATTTGAATATTTGTAGATAATGTGCAGTACATAAACAGCTATTGGAAAATAAACAATAGAAATAAGAAGAGGTGGTATGAGTGCCAATGAGACAACTCTCAATGCAAGTCACAATGTGTAAAAAGTAAACAATAATAGGTCGAAGTACGGCCTTCAACACGGATCCTTTGCTCACACCGAATAGCATGCTATGAATGACTTGTGTAAAACAATTCTTACAGGCATTGATAAATGAGATTACTTGTAAAAGAATTTCTCTGAAACATATTTCAGCTGCTAGTTTTTTTGTATGTTTTCCTCTTTGTTATAGAATTGTCTGTTTTTGCGAATTTGATATCCCACTTGGTAGCTTTCCTCCCTTTTACTTTAATATACGAGAAGCAAACATCCATAAAACTTCTAGGTAATTATACTTTTTTACATGCCTTACAGTCGGCAAAATGTTACAAGTGGATATGGGACTCTTCCATTGACGGAAAGAGAAGCAATCGCTACTTTGGTTCCTAGTATTGGTAAAACACAATCAAAAGGTAAAGTTATTCATTATTAAGTATGATGCATTATCCCGTAATAAAACTAAATACGAAAATAAAATTGTCACAGTAAGCTGAACAAATTACACCAAATCTTCTTTTATTTTGTTCATAAATGAATGAATAGGAAGTTATAAATTGAACACTTATGTGCTAAAATTGCAGTTGTGTTGTCATTTTAACGACACAAACATGTCTAACTTATTTATTTGACGTAGTATTATCTTTGAAACCGTTATATCCACATAACATCTTAACATATAAAGCAAAATAGTCCGGTAGGGTTTATATGTAAATAATAAGAATAATATATCAAAAGGAGACTATGCATTCAGTATCTAAAGTTTTTTTGTCAAATATATGAAATTTAAAGCACTCGTGGAAAATGTTTGAGACAAAACTTTTGAACAGATATATCATGTTATGGAGGGGTATTTGCGAAAAATACCAGTCAAGTGACAGTGAAATTTCCCAAGCCGCAAGGCGAGGGAAATTTGGCCCAAGACTGGTATTTTTCGCAAATACCCCTCCATAACATGATATATCTGTATAATTACACCGAATAGATTTTGATTGAAACTCTCTGTAGAGGTGAAAGGAAATCTTATTTCTGGTAGTAAGGCTTAAGCTGTAATCCACAAACATGTTTATATGATTTTGTATTTACATTGTGTCATAGATCAAATTTTTTCGTTCAGTGTATGTTCTCTTGTGTTAATATGTCTTTTGATTGAGTTAAGCCATTTCAATTGATATTTTATAATGTGTCTTTCTATGTTGTGATGTTAATCTATTAATTAAGATAAGGGTGAAGGTTGTTACCTATCCTATTAAAACGTTTAAACCCGCTGCATTTGTTTGCACCTACCCTAAGTCAGGAATATGATATTCAGTAATTGTTGTTTGTTGATATGGTTCATACGTGTTTCTCGTTTCTCGTTTTTTTTATATAGATTAGACCGTTGGTTTTCCCGTTTGAATGGTTTTACACTAGTCATTTTTGTGGCCCTCTATAGCTTGCTGTTCGGTGTGAGCCAAGGCTCCGTGTTGAAGACCGTACTTTGACCTATAATGGTTTACTTTTACAAATTGTGACTTGGATGGAGAGTTGTCTCATTGGCACTCATACCTCAACCTCATATCTAATTATGCATACTTTTGAGGATCATTAGAGACTATCATAGTACCGGGGGAATTATACGTGTTAGCGCTGTCTTTATGTAACGTCATGGTATCTATGACGTCAACGTCATTGTCAATCCATCATGAAATCGTTCATTTGTAAAGACGTCTTTTCCACGTTGTATACACAACGCATTCTTCAATATACGATCACGAGATCGGTGCCGTGCAGTCGTTTTGTCGGATATTTTTGTTTACAGTTTTTAGACTACCTAATCGGGATAGGCGAGAAAGGTTCCGAATAAATTGGGCGGGATAACGCTTGCGAGGGTAAAAAAAGAATATCCAAAATGGCAAATTCCACGGCATAGAGGGTATTTGAGGCATATTCACCGGCAGTGGTAAGAATCAGGCAAATTGTTTGAAATGAGGAAAAAAGTTAGAATATGTGAAAAATACACTGGCTACCAACCAATCAAAATCCGGCATTTTTATATAAGGTGTAATCAAAAATATAAATACTAACATATGATTAATTTCTTGTGAATATCTGTATAATGTAATTTGAAAAATTAATACTCTTGGATTTCGAAATTCCATGATGGAAAAAATGACTTAACATATCTTCTGCTTAATTGATAGTGTGTCTTAATGATTTAAAAAACTAAATATTAAGATGGCCATTACGAATTCATTATCATCAAATCTGATCATTTCCTTTGCTTTTAGTTAATTGCGTCGTTGCCGTGTACTTTTGCCACAAAAACTCAAGCAGGGCAATGATAATACAGTTTTTGTTCATTCAAAGATCTCTTCTATATGATTGATCGTAACTTTTATGCTTTGATAGGTAAACTAGTATTTTGTGAGTTTTGTTTTTGTATTTTTCGAACATTCAAGATACTACATAAAAATATACTTTGTTGATTTTATTCATTAAAATGCATTTTATTGAAAGTTTTTAAATATGAAATAGTTTTTTTATTCTATTGTGTTCTCTCAGTTGAAGGGGGCCTCGGTGGCCGAGTGGTCTAAGTAGTCGAACTACTGTATCACTAGCCAGTCAACACTGAGGTTGCGAGTTCGAATCCCGCACGTGGCAGGTGCACCCGACTCCAATATTAAGGGCATACGATACAGTTTCGATCCCACGATGATTTTTTTACGAAAATTTGCGTACAAGCTATTTTAGACCTAAGCAATCAAATATGTAATAAAAATTATACCTTCATGTGCTACTTAAAGAGATAAAAGGGGTAGACATTTTAGACATTTACTCAAAATTTCGGTTTTTTGGACATTTCTATCCTTTGGATAGACACACCTAACTTTTTTTATTTCAACAGATAAACACAAGCGGATTTTTGTAAAAATATTCTGAAAATCTTCTTTGTATAAATACGCTCTTAATATGTACAACAATTCTTTGGAAATAATAATTTTTAACAAAGTTTCAGGATTTTAGGAAAAAACGGCATGTTGTGGTATATTTATTAAATTAAAAAAAAAATCATCGTTGATTTTTTCATTAAAATTGGTACAAAGAATCTTCATACGTAATCAATCCTAATGCCATTTTAAAAAAGAGGGGTCCATGTACTCGTTTTCAAGTTAAATCAGTTTATATCATAAAAAAACAGACGAAAAATGCATCTTTTCCCGATATGTCACAGTTTGACGTCGCGAAAATAACATTTTACGTTAGCAACGTCATTACCTCCCCTGTAACTGTATCGTATGCCCTTAATTGACTAGGGTTGTCAGTTTTCCTACCGAAGGTCGGTGGTTCTCTCCGGGCACTCCGGCTTCCTCCACCAATAAAAACTGACCGCCACGATATAGCGCAATAGTGTTGAAAGTGGCGTAATACACCAATCAATAATCAATATCTCAGTTGATTTATAAATTACAGTCTTGGTAATTTGATGTATCATAGTGTAAAGTCATTGCTCCTAAACAAAATGAAATAACGTCACTTCCTTTGTGGAATAACAATTGATAAGGGCTTTGTTAACAATATCAACGTTTGGGAAATAGTATCTAGATTCATTTTATTCTTAAATGTTGATTTTCGGAGTACATATATAGTCTTTAGCAACATGTTATGGAAATCATATCAATTATGAAAAAAAACACCAACCACTGCAAATTGAAAACAAAAACGATACAGAATGGAGATAAACAGAAGCTTCCAATAAAAAAGGGGGACAAGGAGTTTGAACCAGCATTCGTTTTCTGCATCACATGCGGCAATTGTTGCATCGTAAAGTTGACAAATAGGTAGTAAATCTCATTTTCATAGTGTTCAATGATGTGTTATAATCACAAGATAACGATTGATAAATTTAAGAATGCGACCGATACATTATTCAAAATGCATACTCTATTTGAACGTGGAGGGATGTGAGAGATGTGAGTCAATGAAATGAAACAAACACTGTATACATTCCATGCATCCGAGGTGTTTTTCTGGATTTTCCTTCATCAGGAACGTTCAAACCGAATATTGGAAAGTCAAGGGTGTAACAAAGACGTAACATATTATTATCATTATTATTATTATTTATTATTATTATTATTATTATAATTATTATTATTATCATAATTATTATTATTATCATTATATTATTATAAAGTCTTCCGAGAGACGTTTGAAGACATTTTGTTGTTGCACATCCGTAGTATCATGCAGCAGATGTAAAGATTTTGTATTCATATTTAAAGTCGTACTGTATTGCCATCGCATTTAATCCACAGTATACTTATCGTTTGGGTTTTTTCATTCCACAGGCGTAATAACACACGGAAGAGCACAGACACCAGATTCAACTAAAACGGTATCTTCAAATGCATTTATTGCAGTGTAAGAATACAAATTTTCTATGTGAATGATCTTGAAACAGATAAAAAATCTTCATCAAAAATACCAAACTAATTAGAATCATACCCGTTCCATCTGCCTTGAAATCATTATCATATATAACGAAATATTATTCCGTCTTTGAGTAATGACTCACTTAATATCATTTCATAAAAAAGAGTATTTAGTATAATATAGAATTTATTGTAATCACCTATTACGTATTTAAGGTCTTTCTAGAACATTGATTTAGAACATTGCTTGCTGTATATCAAAGTTTTCCAAGGCATTGCACTCCAGGTACCATATCGTGTAATTAAACAACCTGGAACTAACATCTAGATACAATATTCAACAATGCACACGTGTTTGTTGCTGATTTTATTTTACAAGTGTTATATATTTAGTTATTTATAAAAATTAAACGAGCCAATTCTATTTTAGTCATAGTGTTGGGTACCCCTTAAAAAAACCTTCGTTAATAGCCTCCTTGTAAGCAGCAACCCTCTTTCAGTGAAATCATGTTTCTAAATTCAGGCCCTGGAATGTCTATCCTCTTGGAGATTTATACATTATATTCAAGTACGGTTAGAATATTGCTATATAAATATGGAAAGGTCGTAAATCCACCAGTCGTAACATATATTTTGTGAATCAATTCATCAAACATTTTATGATGTCAGGTAAAGAATACGATTTGATTTAATCAGAGTACTTTTTATAAATTATTATGCGACCCTTTCTCAACTAAGATATAAGTATCTGTTTTGGCAATGTTTTAATAGAACAAATGAGAGTAAGACAAATATTTGTGACAAATAGTTGGTTTATGATTTTTTAAGAAATTAGTACTTAGATAGTATTCAGAGATTTTAGGGTCAATATATTCTCTTCTAATATAAAATGAAACTACGTTGAGTGTTCGAGCTAACTTTTTAATTCTTAAATCAGCTAACTACAAAGCTTTTTAATATTATCCCGAGGAAATCTTACACCAAAGATGACAAATCAATAAGATTAAAATGTACGTTTTATATGCAATATACAGAGAAACAAGTTCTGAAAACTTGACAAACTTCATGTGTATCTAAAAGTACATAATTAGATATCAAAACTTATCCTTTTAAGACAAGTGAACTTTCAAAGTAAGAATAGTTTTCTTGCTTTTCTGTAAACGATGTACAATTTTGTTTTTCAATAAACATACATTTTTTTTGAAAAAAGGGTGAGGGCTACTACTCGTCTTTCGACTTTCATTTTTAATTATTTGTAATCAATTCAATAATAATTTGGATAAAATGATAACTAAATTAACAAAATTAAACTTGCAGATTAATTGTAAACATTTGTTTATATATTGATACATTTTGCAGTGTTGTAGTGTTGGCAGTTTTTGTAGTTGTCTGCATATTCCTCTTTCTTATATTGTTACGAAAGCACAGAAGTAGGACAGATCAAGGTAAAATTAAATTATGTATTGTAAAATATGAAAATTTTAAAAGTTAAAACTAAAAGATCACTCCTTTCAACTACACTTCATAAAGAAAAAATATACTACCGTGAGAAAATCTAAAAGACAAAACTGCAAGGCCACGCCATAAAACGTTACAACTGGAAAAATATATTCAAACATGTTAAACTTTGAAGTACACGCCATTTAATTGTACCTAAAACAATCTTGTATTTAAGTGAATATATTGAATTCGAAAACGACAATATGTCAAGTAAAGGAAATAACGAAAAACTAAATTATGTAATAAATATAAAATCTTAGACCAGCAGAGGTTTTGTGCTGATTATGATGCCATTTTTAGATGCAGATGTTATAGAACAAGGAAAAATTCTGGTTTTGGCGACCCAAAATAACAAAATGGAGAATGACAATGTTGTAAACGGGAACCAAGATAAAACCGCTGGTGAAATTGAGAACGAAGTAAACAAAGACAATGTAAATGAACAAAGCAAAAAGACAACCAATGATTCCGCTCATAATAATGATTTTCGTCGAGATGTATCATGCAGTGACAACGGATTTCCGAATAATACTAAAGACATTGAAGTTAAAAACGTAGAGGAATTGCCAATAGCCATTATGGGAATTTTTGATAACAAAAAAGATATATTATTCCCAGTTGAACATTCAGATGTTGATAGAATTGACATAACTGTCGGAGAACTACTGATTGCTGAAAATACAGAGGATGTGCATCAGACAGATTGTATGGAAAAGCAAACACAAATGCCTTTTTCGAAAGCTCAAAAATTAGATAAAGATAGTTTAAATACAAATTCAACAATTGGGTATACACAACTGACAGAACATAACTTAAAACCTGTGACACAAGCCTCAGATGAAAGATTAGATCAAATTACAGGTAGGTCTAACTTTAAGATATTACATAAGTTATTAGAATCTAATCAGCAATAGATGTTTTTTCCACGCGAGTCAATCATTGTGTTAGTCAATAATTGTTGTACTTGTGTCTTTTTAGAGTAGGTGTGTTTTGTTTGACAGGTTTATTATAACCACAGTTTGCATTTATAAGCATGATACGATTTTCTAACAATTTATCTTTTATTTTCTAGGTGCGTGTTACTGTTTTATTAAGGAACTCAAGTGTTTTTGACTTTGAATGAAATCAATTATGGTTGGTGTGCCATCTCTGTCCTTTAGATTTGTTAATGTTATTCATTATTGAGCAATTAGAAACGTGAATATTCATGCGAATGAATTGAAGTAGAGTATAAGAACCGATATTTCCTTATTTGACACTCTACGATAAGTAGTTTATCAGCTCTTGTACCTTAATTACACTTTTCACTTTCAGAGCAGGTCAGTAGTGGAACCGGTTCTGAAGGTAAGTCTTCACATTATATTTGTTTACAAGTTCTTATTCTACTTCTGTTGTTTTTGCTACTACTTTGTTTTAAAATATAGGAATAACGAACAGGAAAATAATATGAGGAACAGACAACTATACGCCAAAAACAAAACCGAAACTTATGACGAAATGTTTTCAAAAGTTGTCTTTTGAGAGAAAACGGAAAATGAATGTGACGAGCTTCAATTAAAACTTTAAATCACGATGAGTATTACGACGATACAATGCAATAACAATAGAAATATCAAACAAACAACATAAATGCAATGTTAAAAATTTTCATTATCAATTATTTTTAAAATGAATTATTAATAAACGTATGAACAAAGTGATAACAAATAGTTAGCTGCTGCTATATTCTATTTGAATAAAGACTAGTTGACAGATAGGCTTTTTATTTTTAAGATTTTCAACATTTTTCGCCAATGTCCTTTGATAAAGGCCCAGGTTCTCTACAAAAATATGGTGAATTAGTTTCAGGTAAGTATTTTACTATCAATAACCGTAGATGTTCGATAAGGCATATGAAAACATTGGAAAATATACATGTAGATGACGACAGATGAAAAATGTAACTACAAGAAAAATTGACGATGAAATTTGAAGTAACTAGTAGGAAGTGATACAGTTTGGGAAATATTAACAGTTGTGCTAAATAGGAAACAATGAATAATTGTGAAGTTTGGAACTAAACACCCATAGACTCAGAGCTTTTGGTTTATATGTGATTATATCACTGCATTCAGATTTTGAAAGATTGCTGAAATTTGTTTTACATGTATTTGAAAGGTAAAGGCAGTGTCGTTTAGTAAGGAAAGTAGGCCCAATTATATTTTTTTATCAACCATTATCATTTGTATAATCTAGATATTTTGATATTTGGCATTTTAGGAATGATAATATAACTTGCCCATCAAGTAGACCTATTAGACAATTTTAGCTCAAGAAAACAAGGTATATAAAACTAAATTAGATATGTATAGCGATGACGTTTACATAACAAACATGCCAAAAGAGTTATATAAATCATGACATCAAATTCCTCTTACTTTTGTATTGTTGATAACACATTCCGAGTATTGTAGTTTCAGTTTCGAATGGTAGCACGGAAGGGACAGAGATCATTACAAGCGGTCTAGAATGTTTTAATTATAAATTAACTGGACCGATAACACCAGTTCATAGGGAAAGTATTCAACCCAAGCAGATTATTGTTAGAAATGATAGTGGCGTTTGTGATAGTGGAAATGGATAGCGATGACTATTTATCATTGAAGTGACTAGGCAGTTAAATTTATAAATATATTAGAGAGACGATGAAATCAGAGAAAGTTCAGGGCTTTATAGTACTTTATTAAAAAGAATGTATTAGATATTTCTTAAAGAAGGGAATTGGACGAAAAAGTGCATTAGACAATAGCTTTCACTATAGGCAGCTGCACAACCGTGTTAAGTGTTCGTGTACATGATATTGTAGTTTTATACATTAATTAGTCTTCGCATTCCAGGTTGTACTGTTTATGGAAGTTTCGTGTACATTTTATGTAAACCTTATACAATACCTATGGAACTCAATTTTAAAATATACCTGTAACGTTAATCTTTTGTTCAAACTCTCCATTATTTTTTCTGGAATGGAGAGTTATTTTGTATTGTGCATTTTCATTCGTCTGTACGTTTTGCCGTTTGGCTATTAGCATGGGCACTTTCTTAAAAAAAGTGTTCACCCGTGGAATTAAGCTAAAGGACGTAATGCGATATTGAATGAAGATGATAACCTAGTGAAAGTCGTAATTCCATCGTATGAAATAGAGTATCGTATTCATTAAAATTCTACAAAAATATCCGCAGTTTGTTTTCCAGCAAATCTTGGCTGAATTTCCGTTACAGATATCATCTATTGCGTGCCATACATCATTTGTGCATCTGCAACCAACTTTATTTGCTAATTGAAAAGCTGAATAAAATCATTTAAGACAGCAGGGAAGATTAGTTCTGTATTGTTTATTACTAAGATTTAAATAAATAGGATGCTATTTATACTGTAAAGGAAAAGGTCCAGTAAGCGCATATTTTGGCCTAAAATTTGAATTACATCTTATGAAAGATTTTCGACATTTTGTTAACACTTCAGTGTCTTCTTCAGTCGTTTCAATTAGTTAATGTAAAAAATTTGAACTGATTTGGTCATTAAAGACGCCTGAATGCAAGCTAAGATATGAAAAATCTATCAAATATGCTACAAAACGTCACTTTTCAGATAGTTTTTGTCTAAAATAGAAGTGGTTGCATTCGTGTTCAGTCTCTGATATATAAGATATATATGTTACATATCATCATCACATATAACATATGTTTAAATGTTAAGACTGAACACAAGTGCGGTCACTTCTATTTTAGGCAATAACCGTCTAAAAATAAGCACAAATGCTAACAATGTAAAGATTTCAGTATTTTTTACATAAATTGACGATGCTAGTACCTGATGCATATGCATTGTATTGTCAAAATAGCAAAATATTGATGTAACAAAAGTATTCTTCTTTTCAATAAATAGCTAAAAGTTTATATTTTTAACAAATTTTTGAAATGCTATGTTTTGGGGCAAAAAAGGGGCCTTACTTGGCCTACTCCTTTATGATGTCTGTATACTGGTCGATTGGTCTGATTTGTCATACTTAATTAAAGATAAATTGTCGAAATTAGATGACATGTTTTCACGTGTAGAAAAAATTCACTAATGACCAGTGCATGATTGGATTTCATCTTTCTTATTGGTTACCGATCTTGCGGGGTCAGCACGAATTCACTTGTATGTTCCCTGTGGGCACTTCCCTTTGTCATCAGCTTTTGACTTGTTAACTTGTAATTCTTATCAAACAATTTATCCTCTGTGTATTTGTTTTTGCAAGGGTTGTGGTAGCTTGGTCTTATGACCTTTTTTTTCTTTGCAAATATGTTATTATGTAGTGGGTATTGTTTAATGCTATGTCATGAAACTCATGCTACTTTGTTATTTTCGTCATGGTGATTAGTTTGGAACAAATTATTTTGTAATTAGGACTATTCGCTATAATTGCCAGTATTTTAGTTATAGATAATGCATATTTTAAGGTTTTTCTTGTCGTAGAACACACCGAGGGGTGTCAGGATTGATTAAACGAAAGACCGACCGTAGGGAGGTCTTTCTTTGGGCAATCCTGACACCCCGAGGTGTGTTCTACGACAAGAAAAACCTTAAAATATGCATTATCTGACTTATATACCGTGAAAAAAATATTATTTTCGGCAAAGATTTGCAGAATTAGCATCCTATTTTACCGATCACACTAAAGTGGGATATTCTTTCTAATGCGTTCAGGTTTTGATATGCCATACGGCTCATTTAGAATATGAAATAAAACTCACTTAATTAATCTAGATAAACCTAAACCTTAGAAATCATTATTCAGGCAAAATAACAATATTACTGTAACTGCACGAAGTAAGACACACATGAATTGTTACTACCCGATAACGGTGTATGAAAAATACAAGTCACTTTGTAAGTAACTTATTGTACCAACATAGGTTATGGAAGGGGTGCTATGCTTTTTTTTTCTATTTGTAATGATATTTTTATCGCGGAAAAGTGATTATGTTTTCAACAATTTTTAACGAATGAAATATTCTGAATAATTTTCTTTTGAATGACAGTACAATTTTGTAACAGATAATAAGGATTTAATTCTATACCCCCACCCGACCCCATTGTGAGGTACGTGGATGTTATTTAATAGAATATAAGAATATTTTATTAGTTGATCATTTGATAGAGTAAAAAGTAAACATAGATGTAAAACAGTTAAGAACTGACACGAAGAGAGCACGAAATCGTAATACATGTCCTTGTAACACGAACACGAAAACGAATATCAATACATGTAGGATCAGATTTTCTAAATCTTACACACGAATGTGTTAAATCTGGCTTTTTTGAAAAGTGTTATGGAAAGTTTTACATTAAATTCATCTCACATATATGATAATGTCCCTTAACTGTAGCGATAAATTAACAAAAATTCACATTATTTGTATCTTAAGTTAAAATGCGGGTCATTGACGATTTTTTTTAAACCTATCAAAGATTGAAATTTAAAAAATAAATTCCCCGACCGATTGGCAAAAAACAAACTTCCAAACGAATTAAAATTTGAAGTAATTATAGTTTGCATTTTCATCAAGGAAAATAATTACCTCACACAGGTCATTATTTTATGCCTTGAAGAATATTTCATTGAAACATGGTATCGTCCGGGTTGATTCTTCGAAAGAATGACCTATCGTTCTGAATGAAAATGACTCCATATAGGTATATAAAGACATGTAACTATTTTCACATGTTTACCAGTATATAAATACATGTCGCTATTGTATTAGTTCAATTATGTTTACTTGTATAAATCATGTAGTTTTGGGTTGCGATGAACTTAATTGATAATTTGTATACCAATACTAAAGCAACGTAAGGTCGTTTGCTTATAATTTTAATAGTTGTACTATTAGAAATAACACTGGACAAGACATAACATGCATAAGTTATCAATACAAGAATAAAAGTGTAAAGTTCATACTTTCCATTTAATACATATATATGATTTACGGTTGATTGATTGAAGAAAAAAATTAAATTATCGTTTATTATACCTTAACATGTGATATGCTTATTGTTCTAGAGTTAGATCGAGTTTGTTATATAATGACATTTATTTTTTTCATTATTTTACATATTAATTTTGTTTGTTTCAAGTTTTAACTATGGACGAAGAGTGCTCAATCTGGTATTCATCTACGTAAGAACTTTCGCCCATTGAAGGAAACATCCGTCTTTTTAAACCAGTAAGATCTGTCCCTTAAATTCCTTCCAGGTCAGTTTACTAGTAAAGAATTGATGCTATCAACATCAGCAACGTTCTTTATCACAAAGAGGTAAAATCTAAAATTCCACTTTATTTTCAAAATCAAACTAAAAACAGTTCATCGGAAGATACCACCCTTGTTGATAAATATTCCGTGTCAACATGATGGTCTTGAAGTATAGATTCTAGGTACTGACATTGTTTATCATCTTAATGTGTGTTATAGTGTTCTTTTTTTGTCTGTAAAATATTAACCTTTACTGTTTAGTTCATTTTTGGTAATATCCTTTTGGCGTAGCTCGGTTATACATCCCACCATTGTGTTATTGTGATATGGTCATGTTTTGTATTCTTGTCATTCATTTTTGCTTATGTAAAATTGAGAATGTTTGTCTATATTTCGATTTTCTTTGTTGACATATTTGTTTGTTTGTATAGTGATTAAGATTATAACACAATGTTGACTGCTGTACCCCTATGTTTGACATTTTTCCCTATTATGTCTGTTTGTTTTGTTCACATTGTTGTCAATACTATGGAATTATATGCGACTGTTGTACAAGTTAAAGGTTTAGAGCTAGCTATAAAATTAGGTTTAATCCACCATTTTCAAAATCAGTCTGTTCCTATTGTATCCTACAATTACACCAAAACCATTTCACCTGAAATTTTTTGCTATAAGCAAGCATTGAAAGACCTTGTTTAAGAAGAATACATAAAAAACCCTCTGACATGTGACTGTTTTCACTCGCCTTATATTTGCAGCCCCTCTGGTCATGTACCAGAACCCCAACACATCAATTGGAACCATAACTTCAAAACAATTATGGATTCCATTGAGGACTATAACAGAGCATGCGCTAAACGAGAAGAAGTTGAACTGGACACTTCGTCAGGTCTCTGAAAAAAGTCGAATTCATAAGTTGAAAAACTATATGAATGATTGACCAAAGTCCGTTTTCAGAGACAAAGAAGCTGTGTAATGTCTATCATATCTTCACGATAAATATGTTGTTGATCCAGCGGACAAAGATTCAAATAGTATTGTCTTTGTATGTAAATCGTACTACTACGAGTGTCTTGTAAAATAATTAGGAATAAATGAGCACTCAGGTAATCCGACATACAAAAACATGTCAATTGACAAGGATGAGATTTTGGCGAATCATAAATCCTTCATGGTTTCAATATTAATGAACATTACATTAAACAGCAAATCTGAAGACTTACCTTGTTTGTATTGGATACCTAAGCTTCACAAAATTCCGTACAAACAACGGTGAATTGCCGGCTCATCTGCATGTTCTACAAATGAATTGTTCATCAGATTGAAAAACTTATGTCCGCAGTGAAAGAAGGTCTTTAGAAATACTGTGAAACTGTTTACTCGTAGTATTAACAATATGTGGATTCGAAAAAACTCTAAAGAACTTTTGGATTATTTTAAATCTCGATCTTTCCCAAATTGAAAAATCGTCTAAAACAAATAATCCACACTACAAAAGTCAAAAAGTCTGAAAAGACCAATTTTTGTCTGAATTTGCATGAATTTTTACTCGACATTCTCTTTTTGTCTGTAATATTTTTGAAAATTCTTGACAAAGTCTGAATTTGTCTTATAAAGTTCTTGATTGTTCTTGTCATATGTCTTGACAGTATTAACCTTGTCTAAAAATTTCTTGACACTTTCTTTATCATCTGATAAGTGTCTTGATTAGTCTCGACCAACTCTTGACCGTCTTAAATTTGTCTCGATCAGTCTTGACATATTCTTGACATTCTTAATAATGTCTGAATATGTCTTGACACATTCTTGACAGTCTTAAAGCTGTCTGAATATATCTCGACACATTCTTGACGGTCTTAAAGATGTCTTGACACTATCTCAACAGTATAAATTTCGCCTGAATTGTGTAAAGACACATTCCTGACAGTTTGAACACTTTCTTTTGCTGTTTTATAGTCATTTCTGTTATCGCTAAACTAAACTTAGAAGAATTAGGATACAATAATACATTGCTAATTGGATATTATGCATGAAAAATGAAATATGTCTACAGTATGATTTGTTTCAATCATTTAGCAATTATTTAT